AGTTACCAACCTCTAGACTACAGCAATCTCCAGACAGTTAAGGAAGTCTTAGATGTCCAGTTCACTCACCTTACAGTACCTCTTTATCATAGGGGCACAAGACATCATGAAGATTCTGTCCAGATCCAGATCCTAAGAAACAGACAGTAATATCAATGGTAATTAATGGTAATCCTTTGGGCATTTTGACATACACAATGGGCAAAGATCTATACACATGTACATGTACATGCAAATAAACAAAATATATCCGAATGCCTTACTGACCTGAGATGACATCTGGGTGAAGTTGCCCACTCGTTCTCTGCAGGGTTTGCTCAGGTTCTTGAAGTTGTCCTGGAGGCAGTGCATTTCCTGTAGCAGCAAAATAGCAAACGGGCATTCAAGAATCAATGAATGGTCCAACAATGCTGATTTTCGTCCTTGTCAACAGTCCTAGAGGTCACAGCTAATGTACTGAGTAGGAATGATATTACAAATAGTATTTCATTTTTTGGATTTTTGTTTGTTTCAGAGTTTCAGAGGTTTTTGTCCTTGGTTTGTTTTAAATTACATCATTCCTACCCTCATACATATGAGAATCCTGTTAGTATATACAATCTACAGTGTAAAGTGTTTGAGTGGGGGTAAAGCTGGGAAACTGAGAGAGAAACTACATGGTTAAGCAAGCTAGAGTCCAAGTTGATGAGCTGAAAACACCTTCACCATGCAAGGATTGTAAGTCACCCTTAAGTAGAACCTCACAGTGTCCCTGCCATTGTGTGAAATGAACAAAATATGTTTCCTATTAACTAGTATGATAATATAAATCCTATGCTATGCAACACTTAGTCTAGATATACTTTGAAATATATTCTAAGTAAATGCAAATGTTACAATATTTTCTGGCAAGGACACTTTGAGATTCTGCTTCATCAGTATTAAAGAGAGAGAGGTTTGGATGAATCCTGTGGCAAGTCACCTGGTCAGGCGGTATCTGTAAAGTTGCCCCATCAAACACATCCACCTGCAAACGGCCACACGTTAGTGCCAAACAGAGCATGTTAGTTCACAACAACAGCAGGTGAAATATGCTCAGGCAAGGGATAGTAGAGTAACACACTTGTCATGCCTCTTCCTGCCCCTTTAGCATGCTGTGAGCAATACATGTACATGTACTAGTACTTGACCTGACATGTGTGAATGTGGACATTCAGATGTACACACTGTAAGAAGTAGAATAGATGCTAGGCTGTTACGTGTTTTCTTTTCTAATCGGGATTGCCAAACAGAAATTACGTAAATATCACACTATCATACAAGCGTCAGAGGAGGATGCAAAGCAGAAATTTAAGTCAGCATGATGTATGTTAAATTAAAAGAAAACAATTCCATGAGGTCTCAGGCAATGTCGCTGTTACATGTCATGCAAGTCAAATAAAATTTTTCTGAAGAAATCAATGAGAATGTATAGTTTATAGTTTATATGACAGCAATCAGAAAAGGGACCAAGGTCTACAAGAAATGGCAGAGTTAGTTTAACACTCAAACACACAAGGGATAACTCCAAACAGCTAACATGAGATGTCACTTACCTCTCCTTTCTCTACATTCTCAGAGCAGTACTCTCCCAGGTCCCGCAGGCAAGCCTTCTCCAACATGGGGTTCAGCCGCACATCCACCGCTCTCTGGTGCATCACGCGGCGCACTTCAAACGCACAAGCGTGGCTTAGCTGTGTAAAAAAATGTATAATAATATGATCAGACAGTGCTATACACTGGTGAGCCCATTGACACAAGATGACACAACATTAAATTGTGTTTTCCATCCAAACTTGGCTCTTATTACATGTCAAATTATTACCCTCATTTAAAAGAAATCTTTCTCCAGTCACTCCAATAACTTCTAAAAAAGAAAAGCATTATCTGATCTATTACCTTTGCTTCATCTTTCCTGTAGACATGCCTGTAGAGACATGAGAAGACGATTCCTGGTGGAAGGTTGTCGTTGGTATCGTTCCAGTCTGGGCCTGCGTTACAGAGTCGCTCCGCTTCTTTGGCACACTTCCTGTACATCCGTGGGTCCAACCTGCAACCAGACATGTTGGGTTAGGTCTTTGTGGATCAACAACTACATTCCTGTTGTTATACATTAGATGTGATAGGCACTTTTATAATTCTTCAAATCTTGTATCTCTTGACGGTGCATATACTATACTGTAATTCACTTTACATGTACGTTCAAGGAAACAAAAGTTTGCGGTCTGAGAAAAATGGAGGTGTTCAAGGAACTATATGTTCAAAGTGGCAGCAGGGGCACAAAAAAGAAAATTGGCAAATTATATATCAACAGTACTTATAAATTTGCGGTATAGAATAGACCGCAAGAACCGCGAAGTACTGCGACAAAAAATCAGGAATTACAGTACAGATGTATATTAGATGAACACATGGTTATGTAGTAATGACAGCCTGTGCTGTAGTAATGTAGTGTTACAGTCATATGTACTTGACAGAAGCCCCTGGGCTTACCTCCAGTCCCTGGAGATGAAGTACTGCAGCTCCAGCAGCTTCTCCTCACAATCCTCCACCATAGAGGGTGTGTACAGGTGCTCCATTAAACATGACAGGATCCTGCAGGGATACAGACAACATACACATACCAATTCAATCTTATAAGTATATTTCAGGAGGAATAATAAAAAGTATATCAGAGTAAAAATTGCTTTCTCTTTACTGTATACATTTTTTTTGTCTTTTGGTCACACAAATGCTGCATTGGAAACAAATGTGCCTCTTAGACCCATATAAAGCTGTTACAGAGAAATACACAATGTTTATGCAAGAAGCAGTGATGCACTTCAATGGAAAAAAGTCACAAGTTCCATCAGTCTCCTTCAGATTTTCACAGCAAGCATGGCAGAATGAGAACTTACATGGCATCTCCAGGTTTGATGTCCTTACAGGCAGTCTGCACCACTGGTTCACAGGCATCCTGCAGGGCAACGTCCATCCTGTAGTCAAACCCTGCATCTGCCTCCTTCACTAGAGACTGCACCTGGAAACACACATGGAAAACTTGGTTAATGATATCATCCCTGCTATCATTGTCACTGGGATATCTACATCTTCACTCTCTCTCTCTCTCTCTTGGCTTGGCTTTGCTGACAAATATTTTTCAAGAACCCTTTCCACTTATCTACATAAATGTGCATGAAATGACCACCTATGGATGTACTAATATCATGTTACTACATCTCTCACAACACTTTTCGTCACTTCTGGCTTATTTTAACAGTACCAGAGTGGTCCTTTTGGACCTGAGTGGTTATCTTATAATTCTTTTTCCTAAAATGTAGGCTAAACCAATGGTGCTTTGCAGTACTTACTGCTATCAAGCAGGTCTTGCTCAGCCTGTTTTGTCCAGTCTTGGAGTCGTCCATGCCGTTCTGCATGAGACAGTGGATAGTCCTGCCCTCCTTCTGCAGACCGTTGCACAGGCTCTCAATTTCACCTCGGCAGTTCAGGACGATCTCGGGAGAGATCTGGAAATCTGACATCAGCTGTCGCCTCATGTCAAACATCTCCCCCTGACAGTCACCACTCACCTGACGGCCTGGGAGCATCAAACATTAGACCAACATTTACAAAAAATATAAAAATATGCTTTTCCTGACACCACACTTTCAGCTAATTACTCAGCCCTGTACGGTATTGCAAATAGTCTTAGACGAACTTTCATTTGTAATCAAATAAAACTGATTTTAACGAATCAGATGCATATCCGAAAACCAGTGTCAGTAGAGCAAATGACAAAGAAGAAGGAACTACCACATTTACAGGTAACCATGAAGATCCCTGAACAAAACTTAAGGAAGACAACATAGAGATGGTTGCCTGGAATTACTGTTGTCTGTAATACAGCACACAAGACTATTATAAGAGAAGAAAGACTTACCCTTCTGTATGGCATTCTCCAGGCAAAGTAAGATGAAGGATAACTTGGCAAATTTCCCCTCTGGCATGTTATCTACCCTGCAGTGGTAGTGCTTGATGTCTTCTTTGCACTTCTTGGCCAGGCCGTAGTTCACCTTGTAGTCCTGGCTCACCATGCGCTGTCGTATTATCAGCTTTTCTCGGCACTGCAAGATGCATGAAAGTCAACGTTGATTTAGACCACCCATGTGTGTTATTAAGAAAAAATGGGCCATTAGTCAGGTCAATACGAAGGAAATATGACATGAAAGGGTAATAAATCATCATATTGACCTGGGTACAGGTCCTTACATGAACTGCCTTTATCATGTCTGAGAGGCGAGCTTTGAGAATTGGCTATTACTCGCAAGTGCCGTCCTGGAACAACTCGATACCCCGGTAAGTGCCTGGTCATATTCAATGCACAATCGTTGTGCGATTGCAAATAGGAGGCATTTTGGGGATAGTCATTCATGTGCTGTTCAGGATTCAGCTGTTTTGTTATGGAAATGTCTTTCTTATATCCTTATCAGCGATCAGTTCAGTCAAAGCTTGATTGAATATTTTATGTCATCAAAATCGTAAAACAACTGTGCTGTAAGTGCCATTGGCTGTAAATTAATGAGTAAAGTTAGGGTTACAACAAAATTAACATATCCACAGTTCTATTCAAAAAAGTTTCTTCTGTTGTGTGTACTCACGTCGTCACTCATGTCGTGTTCAAACTTGTGCTGCACCAGACACTTGAGGACATGCCCCTCCCCTGCTCTTATCTTCTCACAGAACCTCTCTCTGTCTTCACGACAGGCAAAGTACAATGCTCGGTCCTGGTAGGGAACAAAACCATTGCAGTCAGTCAGACCTTGTGACACTTCACTGCATAGGCACTATGATATCAAATTAAGATAAATGTAGATAAATATTAATCTTTAATATGCTATATGTGACATTAGTCTGCAAAACCGTCAGCAGCTGTCAACAATGTATCTCCAAGTACAGAAGCAGATATACATGAACATGTAGTCTTTTGTACAAAATAACACATTATGGCTATCTGCTATCGAGTTACATGAGCAGGCACTAACAGTAAGAAGACTAGAATAAATAAGCTATCAGTGGCAGGCATTAAAGGACCATGAAACACTTGTATATGGTGATTAAACTGTATAATATTATGTATATATTATGATGGTGTGCTTGTATGTAAGTGTAAAAAGATTTCAGAGAGTGTGTGTGTGTATTTCTATTTAGCTTGTGTAGATAGTGATGAAATACTTTCTGGTTAGTTGTTTTTCAAACTGCTAAAAGGTATGAAGCAGTACAGTATTGTCTAGAAAAGTGCAGCATGCATTTGTTGTGAGATGCAAGTCTTTCCACAATCGTGGAGCAGTAAGAATTCTGTTTCAGAGAGGGGAAAGGACTTACTTGGTGATAATCATCAGCAGACAGCTCTGCTATTCTGAAAAGCTGCATTCGACAACGCCTTGACATGATTTGCCCATCTTCGATGTGTTTCTCTAAACAGTTGATGACCACACCTTGAGAATGAATATGCTGAAAGAGAGCCAAACCTTTAGCCCAAAAGCCTGAGAGAGATGGCAATAGAGGAAAATGTGTGTAACCTGCTTGTGCTGTGGAGGTGAGCAGGATGTTAGTAGGTCCTGAGGATGGTTTGGGCCTTCTTTGCCTGCCACCTGACCAAGACTTACTTCATGGTAATCATCAGCAGAAAGTTCCCCTATTCTCAGGATCTGTTTCATGCAGGAAACTTGGAGACCATCCTTTTTTCCAATTTTTTTCTGAAGACAGTTGATCACAGACCCCTGAGTGTGATCAATCTGAGAAAAAGAAGATCATGTAACATGGAAAAAGGTTGAGAGGAGCCAATGTTCACTGCAGACGACTGCACTCCTAGTGAGACATAACAGAACTGCAGCCTCTCTAATGTACAGATCGTAGCAATTGTAATGGGATGAGATTGACATGACTGGAAAGCCTTGAGAAAAATCAAGTTCCATACATTTCATGTACATATTCTACACATTCAGATTATTGCTGTAAATTACACATAACTGCTAAAATGCTGATTTTACCTTTCAAGGCTTACATTGTACATGTAGAAAGTACATATGATACAATGTACACATCTTCAAAATATTACCTTTGATTAAACCTTGATAATAATGTTCCTAACAACAACCGCTGTCCAATTTCTTGACTGACACAAAGGCAGGGATATTCCATTGACACTATGACAGGGGTGCCTCCTTACCTCCTCATCCCTGGAGCTCACCCTCCCACACTGGAACTTCTGGATGTCCGCGCTGCAATCCTCTACAAAATGCTCTATCAGCCGGTAGTCACTGAACACGATGCTGGTCATCTTGACCAGGAACTGGTGACACTGCTGGTTGCTGATGTTGCCCTTGTGGTCCATCAGACAGCTGATGACCAGGCCCTGCCCTGTCTCCAACTTGCTGCACTCTGGTAGCTGGATGGAGAAACAGACAATAAACAAAATGATTCACAACATACAGGATATTTTATCTTAATGGCTCCGACATACATTATATATTTTATACTCTGATAAAAAAAGGTTACTATGCCATTTATCCTTTGATCTTTGCTTCAAGCTTGGCAAAACGTTTTCAAAACAATCAGATTTCAAGTAGTCTGCTTATGTGATAAAATGCTTTACATGTATGTCTAACTAAGATTAAAACCCAATACTGCTATACTATACAAGGAAGGAAAAAGATCACAAGGCCATTCAACTTCTGGCAGAAAAGAGAAGTCAACTGACCTGAGCAAGAGGCTCCTTGCAAACCTCGTAGGCAGCTTGGTCAAACCGGATGTCCTTGGTAAGGTTCTTCTTGTAGTCCCACAAGAACTGAGAGACAACAAAGTGGTCATGCATGTGTGAGACTGTGCTGACTCATCATACATGGGAAGGAGCTTGATGGGAGATGCAACAGTATGTGAAGATGATCATACATTTCAATTACAATCTTGTACATGATCCAAAACAACACCATCTCCCAATCAACATTGGCCCTCTTCTCATTGACAGAAACATCCTGTTAATATCCTCGGCCATACATTGCATTTTTTTATCTCCAACAATCTATATGAAACATTGGTTCATACAGTCACATCAATTTTGTTACTTATATCCCAAACAAATTGCTTCCCACCTGAAGGTTTTATGGTGGAAAAGAACATTTGCAATTCTACATGGAGTTCTCACTAGGAGTAATAAACAGTTTATTTTTCAAATTATACTGCACTTAGAGCCTCCATAAACTTGACAAAGTGGCAGCAGTATCTATCATAAGATTGTAAAACCAGACATGGTGAAACCAATTTTGAAAGATTCAAGTGGTTCTATCCCCTTGTTGTTTACCCTAATAAAAATCATTCCACAATCCAGAGCTCACATAGATGCAACAGACATGAGTCAGACTGTGTGTTCCTGAAGTGTACACCAAAATTGTCTGGCAAAGAATTGATTGTGGGACATCTAACTGCCACTTGATACATGATGTCAAAAGCAAAAACACAGGGAGGGACATGCATTATACATCTAGGGAATTGTTCAATTTTGATTGGTATTTCCATTGTCACTAACCATCAGCGTTAAGATGCATACGTCCCTGTGATAGTTGCATCCCAGTGGACTACTAATATAGGCTATACCCTCTGGCTGATTAAATCCCTATTTCAGCAGATTGGCAGCAGCATCAATGAGAAACAAGCTGGCTTTGTGGGGAGCCAATCATGTGGAACTGCAACAGATGTTTCCCTCAAGCTAACAGTGTTCAAAGCTCACTTCCTAGAAGATAAGCTAGTTAGGTCTGATTAATTCACACTACTCTGAACAGAAATGGACACATTGCCTTGTGGAATTACTTCTTGACAAAGTGTCCTTCACACTCAATCGATGATGCCTTTGTCATTACCATCTAGTCAGTCCTGGTTTGTCCTTATTATCGAAGTCCTACAGCCAATACCGCACAACTACATTAGTTCAATAAGCCAGGATACACTCTAAAATTTCAGACTTTTACCAGTTGTATACCTTACAGAACATACTAGATATCTGTCTACATCCAACTTAATAAATAAAACAAATTAAATAATACAAGAATATAAATCATATATAACTAAAAGGAGTACATGAGAATGTTTTGTATGTTCCTGGGTCTCTTCCAACCTGGGGTTACATGAACAAATTACTACCTTGGTCTAGAAGAACAGTTTGGGTTTTAACTGCTGAGGATACGGCTACAATATCTGACACCCTATCCATCTTCCTGTGGTGATCACATGCACAGTGACCGCTGCACTACACAAGGAAACACATTTAAAGTGGTGTTACTGTTCACCTGGCTGACATTGTAATACTTTTCATACATCATAGCCTGGCCTGGCCACCAATCCTAAGTGCTGTTATTGCAATATATACTATGCCTCTCCTCCCCCATTTCTCTTGCCTCTACTCCAATTTCTTGTGGTGATCCAAGTCATATGTCACTGCCAGAACCAGCTTCAGAACAGCTTCTCAGCACATCTAGCTATTATTATAGTTCAAGGGGGTGGTGCTATTCAAAGTACATGCATTTACCATAACTAAGTGATAAACTATCATAGATTTCTTTCCATATTGTCTTTGAAGAAGAATCCCTTGATATATTCTCCATCCCCCAAAAATAGTAACAAGACTTTTTGTAGTATCTAGTTCACAGAAATATGAAACAAAAAAACAGTGCCCTTCTGAATTTCCCAAACAATTGATACACTGTACTGTTATTGTAATATCTTGAAGAGCAAATGAAATGCACAAGTTACTCCTGCCCTACATGCTGTCGTGTTCCTTCCTATAGGTTAAAAGTTGTTCCTGAAGGTTGTTCAAGGTTACGAGATTATCTGAATGTGCATATGCACGTCCCCATGTCGCATGATTTTTCTTGAGAGGACAAGACTTCATTAAAAGCTTTCATCATAGTTATGTCCGTGGTGCTGAAAATGCTGTTGCAACAAATTACCAGTTTACCTGCCACTGAAAATTGCTATGATTCATTTTCAACATTTTGGCAAAACACCTGCAGGAGGACCCAGGTGTAAGAATATTTTTGTTGAGTCAAGTGGGAATGGCAATCCGCTGTGGTGTAAGTCAACAACCGTACAATAGCTAAGGGCAATGACTAGTTCAAAGGCAGACTCAACAACAGATATTTATTGATTCAAAATCAACCAAAAACTATTTTCAGTCCAGTAACTGAGTAGTGCACCTCCATGCAGACCTATGTGTGGGAATGATGCTGACCTTAAGTTTGAACTGAAGATCCGGGTCAAAATTTTAGCTCAAATCATGAGAAAAATTTAGATGTTGAAGCAGGAAATTGGTGAACAACTATCCACTCACACATTAGATTTACTTACTTACTTCGGGGCTCCCATATCTTCTGAAACATGTGGCACTTCAGTCAATGTGAAGTTGCTCATACAATTACTTTTTGGGATTCAGAAAAAGTAGTACATACAGAACCAGAACAATTGCTTCTGCTCTTGAATCTGCCTTTAACAGATCAAACAAGACAAGGCTGGGAGATCTCTGCTGGAGCCAACATAACTCAAGAAAACAAAATCAATAGTCAAACTTTTACAACCCTTTTACAATACAAATAATGGGTCGGATCTTCTCCAGCTGCAACGTAAAAACCAAGGCCTATACTCCTATAGTGATTTTGGTACATGAAGGGGTTTAGCATGGAAGGGGCTGTCCCAGATAATAGAAATTCCAAAAACAAAACCTAATTTGGACGTTTTGGACTTCTATCATTTGGGATAACAATCAATAGTCCTAATTACCTGTTCTTTGCCCACACTGCATTAATGATGACATTAGGAGTGCCATTTCCTAATGATGCCATCTTAATTTTTATTTTTCAGATAGTACATGTATATACATTTTTACCTCAAGTTAGCTGGTATCTGTGACCTTGGCAGTACAAACTGAGTATACTACATTTGTACTTTAATTAGAAGTTATCCCCAATTTATTCTGCAGGTTAGTTTATTCTTGATGATGGACTGCCGTTCACATTAAGTTACCTGAGTGAAGGATTTGTGTGTCTTTCTAAGATCCCGTTAATGAGGAAACAATCAATACAGATGACAAAAATAATTACTGGAATCAATCATGGAAGGATCCAAGTCTTCTTCTGAAAGGTGGAACAATCTTATTTCTAGAATACTCTATTGTTGTGACAGACAAACTGAAACTAAAACCTGTTTAGCTCTTATTATTCAACAGTGGATGCCAGTTTTACAAGAATTGTCTTCTAAAAAGGGTTCTCATAGAAACAGTGCTAATGAGCTCATCTTCATTTGGCAAAGCCTGATTGGTGCACGACAAGGTAATGATCGAAAATAGGTCTTACAACGGATGGAGTAATTTTCTGGGAGGGATGGAAAATTACTCCACCACCTCTCCTCTCTACCCCCCACCTCAGCAGGTATAGAGGAATGATGCATGGATGGCATCTATGTAAGACCTACCATAATCAAACACTTTTCTTGGCAAATTGTATCTGTACCTGTATCCGTCATTGTCACCCATTAAGACATTACACAGGAAGGAATAACTTATACTCCTACTAAGTATTTTTGCCTGGCTGCTGTATGAAAGATGCATGAATTCCACTGCCACATTTTATAATTTCAATCAAGACTTTTCGTAAAGATAATCATGTGTGACTCCTCAGTAGAATTGTTTCTTGACATCCCAACCAGGTTGGTTAATAGTGGGTTCGCAATGTTGAAATTTGCATAACAAATATCAGTGAATACCCATGAAGCCAGTTTCACTGAATTGCCATCCCAGCAATGGTGTCCACATATGGTCTGAGTCTATGGAGGCTATCCACTTCCCAAAGCTCTAGATTTGCAACAAAGATTTACATGTATACATATTGAATAAAGATTGTGTTTTGTATAATTAGTTGACAAAAATTTGCCATGAATTGACTACAAAGCATTGAGGACCAAGAACATATGGCACAAAGTGGTTGCAGAGCCAAAACAGCCCGTGGGCACGCCTCACATACATAAAGTAAGCCAAGGGAGTAATGACTGGTACCACGCAAAGAAGAAATGGGCAACTTGTTCCAGACCCACATCAGCTGTGGGATTACCAATACATTGTTCCATCAGAGTTATGGTGGAGGATTCTTCCCACCCCCACAACTCTCCTTCACAAAGCCTTAAACTCATCAATTTCTAGGAAAAGGATGGGTGGAAAGTAGAAAAATACCATGGTTTGCTGCACCTGTCCTCCCATCAGCTCAAAACAATGCTATACTGGCCTTCTCCTGCCTTCTCCTGGATTCAGCTATTCTATCGATTCAACACTATCTTGCTACATTTTATTTACTTCAGAATACACCAGGGTCAAACAGAAAACAAGATGTAGATAGAAGTCTACTATTTGTATGTGGCATAAAAGTTGCTGAAAGCTGATCCATACACGTAGGCCTACACTGCCAGTATTATAGCATCACTCTATGCCACAGTGCTAGTGAGAACTTCTATGACTCCCTTGGTGCGTGTGCAGGGAATAATGTCCCGGGATGGAGCACTGCTGATATAAATTCCGTGGCAGTATGTGCAGAGGAATCTCAATGACTGTACAGTGCCTCAAGGTGTCATTTGTCAGGCAAACAGACGGAACACGCTCAGCTAAAATCGTGTCCTGGAATAGCAGTTTTTTTATCCTCCCACTGTCCATATACCCACTGCAGGCGACTTCTGCTGATGGATTCGGCAGCAGTACCAATTGAAGCTTTGTTGAATGGGCCTTTAACATGGGCCAGAGTAATGCTGGGATTGCACAGATGTGGACTGGATTCTACCGAATGAGAACTAATGGATGATAACATCATGTCTGCATGACATACATGGAATTAAAGTTTTATGATGTGGGTCTGGGAACAAATATATGAATGTACTTCAAACCTTGTATCCACACTGATATACTCGATGATAAAAGATACATGTACATGGTAATGCGTGCCATTCTGCACTAACAGTCACATGACCTGAATGCATAGACATTATGGAATAGTTAAATGGGTGGATACTCACATGGTGGCATTCTGGTGATAGGTCATTGTCTTTCTGCGTGGGGAACAAAAAAAAAAACAATAGATTAGTCCATGTGAATGAGAATATGTCAACAAAGAACATCACAAGTTAAATATTCATGTGAATCTTGATGCAATAGAAGGAAAAGTAAGAAGGCTGGACAACTCTTACTTAATATATTTTTTCTAATACCTCCGGCACAGGGAAGTACTCATACTAATTGAAGCTGGGACACTGCTGTTTTTTACAACTATGTAATGATTACAGCTCTAAACAGAGTAAAAAAGAGTATCCAAATTAGATTATAACAGGTTTAACATCATTAGGGGAATATTCTACCTTCTACAGTTAATTTTAGTTAGTGTAGTATCTTGACATATTCAGGTTAAAAGACCTCTCATACTTTTTCCTTGCACTACCTTTCTGCACTCATGCCCTTTCCATTAAAAAAAGCCTTGAGGCAGACTTTAATGAAATGGCAGGTACAGAAATCTAATTTGAACCCTGGTGACTACCTGACCGAATAAAGCATTCCCTTCATTTGAGGTACATTGTACAGACCTCCCCTTTTGTACCTCCTCCCACCAAATGAGTGATTACATCCCCAATGACAATTTTACTCCAGTTGAGAGGCCATCGCCTGCATGGGGCTGATAACTTGTTGCTGTGAGAGTAGTGTACACCCACATCAAGCTTAAAGTCTCCGGGATCCATACTGATCAAACAACTGGATTGAGACATGTACGTCATGTCCCACCCACGTTACACCTCAAAGCACAGTACATTAGTCTTAGTCAAGATCTTCATTTTTTTTTCAATCAATCCTTTGTCTACTGAGAAATGCCTGAACATAAATGCATAGGCAAGAAAATGTCTGCTGCACAAGGGATACTCTACTCTACAATTGACAATATAAATTACTTTGCAAATGTCAGATTGGCTAAGGATTTGATGGTGTTAGGTATGGCTGTAGAAAGCTTAGGTTGTGTAAGGTTATATAAACTCTGAATACCAAGTAGGTTAACATGTAAATAAATTTATGCCTGTACAATTTTCGTATGAAATGTTACTATTATTCTGTTCAAACTACAGTTTTCTTCATGTGTACTTCTCACCTTTATAAAATGACTGTGTTACTCATAGTCAAACATCACATATATCTTATCTTGTTACCATCCATTCATAAAACTCAGTAACAATATGAGTGAAATTCATTCCTGACAGGATCATCTTACATGTAAATGGCAATATTGATCAATTATGATTCATGTGTGAAATTGCTTAAAGTTTTGTTCTTATACAGCCGGAAAGCCACGTACTGAATCGAACGCTTTTCGAACGAGTTTTCTTTGCAGAGCGTATCACTCCGCCGTCCATAGCAACGCCGTTGCTAAGGACGACGTTTTCGCGGGCGGCGGGCTGAAATTTCATCCGAGTTGTTGACAGCCGATTACATCACCAGTTTCGGCCTCTGCGTCAAGATGGCGGTACGTATCAGATGTGTATATCATGTGCTCTCTGTACTAACCATATTTGAGGGGTATTCTATGAGTTTTAGTGTAGTTTTGTGATCAAACTCGGTGTACAGTGAAATGAACAAAATGGCCGCCCTGGACTGATCTGAATTTTCGTCTCATTTGAATTTCGGGGGAAACCCGTTTCGCACTTGATTTTGCATATGGCGATATGTGGATAAAATGTGTTGAACATTTGGCTATCTCCCATTATGAATATCCTGTTGGTGCGAAGTCTGCATATATTTGCAATTCCATGCCAACTGGGGTCACTTTTTTCTGCAATTTTATGGCTAAACCTCATCGTTTGTCGTTTGACTTTATTTCGGTCAATGTTGAATAATTTGCGTATATGTGCTTCATTTCTTGTAAACATCATGTTAGTGGTAAAATCGTTTCCGGTGAACTAATCTAGTCTAAGTTTAGACCCAGACTCTTAGTCGTTAGATCTTTACGAGGACAGATTGAATTCTAAATACTGTAGTTAATGTTGTACTTGAGTCTTATCGATCACGAACTTTGTAAAAGAAATCATCCCTTCTGTGTGTGTTTGTGCAAAAAATTCCCGCCAACTTTATCACGTGATGTCTGGTTGTCATACAAGAACAACAAAGCTGCATGACTGCTGCAAATTGTTACAATGTCTTGTCATAGTGTCTAAAGTTACAGCAAGACAAGTATTGTACCTTCTATCTAGTGCTCGATGATATTGAAAAAAACAGTGCACAATATACATGTTTATATGCAGCTTGTGACATTTTGTAAAAATTATAAATGGTTGAGCATGTATATCATTGATTATTGAAATAAAGCTAACATTCATTTCAGTATTGAATTAGGAAAAAGATGTCAAGGGGAATTTTTATTTCTGTTTCAGATCATCCTAGGCTTCACCGACTGTAAAATTGGTAAGTATCTGGCAAACCATGTCAAACTCTCTCCTGGCATCTTTAAAAAATTAGTGGGAAAATTTAAAGAAAAAGTTCAAGGACAAGGACAAAGTGGGAATGCACTCAGGTTATACAGTCACTTACTTTGATAACAGCCCCACTTGACACTTAACACTAAACAAGTACAACCAATACAACTAAGAATAAAAGAACAAAATTGTGCTAGTGTTGGAGTTTGAGGAAGACCCTAGCCCCTAAAATCTACCTCAGATAGCATTGCACCAGGTTTCTTGTAAGGTTGGAGAAATCTTTTTCGAAAGTAAACCAATACTTCTTGTGGATGCCTGTGATCTTTATGTAGAAATGTAAACGAGTTAAAGAAAAGATTTGAATGTAAAAGTCAAAGTAATCTACTGATTATGACACATTCTACCGTGGTTGGACTTAAATGATTAAGGAAACTTTATTTTGGTTCACAAAAGTTCTAAAACCAAACATAGTTTAATGTTATACTATAGATATTGTGATATTATAGAATCCCTTCATTTAGTATTGTATTCTGCAAGAGTTAACTCTCCAAAATATTATCAAGAGTCTAGTTTTGCTTCTATGCTAAAAGATTTAAAGGATAGTATCAATTCTGGCACCTGGCCATCCTTTTTATATATGAATACTATTATTCATCAAGAATCCTCCAAATTTATTCCATTTGATAAATACCAACCCCCAGCATGAAAGTGACCTGTTCCAAATTTCTAAAGAAACAAATCCTGTTGTTTGCAATTTTATTGTTGTGTTAACTATGCAAAAGTATGAAATTTCTTTTTCTGATTTTGAAACTTTGGACATTTCTTTATAGCTCTAATTTTTAGGAGACTTTTCACGTCTTCCATAATTTTTTTTGTCTCTGAAGGCCAGTGTAGTTATCCTTTTCATATGATAAATTATGCATTGATTTATTCCTATAGCCAATCTGATGATTTAATGCAATTAACTCTGAAATTGCCTTGGTGAGAGTTATTTTAGTGATTCTCATAAACATTTATTTCTGGGGTTTTGGATAAATTGACTTTGGAAGAGTTTGCATAGCTTGACAAAAGATTCTTTTACTGTAACTTCAATATAGTAGACAACATAAATAGTGGTAGCCCGCCTATGCAACTGTTACTGGAAGTCCCAGTGGGTGGATTGGGATTTCTATACAAGCTGTACAGTCCAAATCTAAATTACTTATTTCTTCTATGCCAACTTTAACATTTCATTCTGAATATTTTAATTTAGTCCATATTGATCAAAATTGGGAAATTCATGATGATTCAGAAAGACTTTTAACTAGTGAGGATCAGGATGTTAATTTCATAGATGACATTTACATAGGCAGCTTGTCTGCGTTGAATAACATTTCAGATTCAGAATTCTCTGATGTTGATTAATGAGTGAATTGGGTTTAATTTGGTGTCATATCATTCTTAATGATTTTTTCTTATTCTTCCATCTTGCAGGTGAAAGTCATGCCCAACAGGATTGTCACCAGCAGGATACCAGGATGTTATATTTAGCTTGAGATTATGGATATATATATAAGATGTATTATGTACAGAGATCTTAATTCCCATTTATTTTGTTTATTGTAATGTTAATACAATTTGGGAGCGTATTTAATATTCGATTCAGCATCCAATGTCTACTCTAACTTTCAAGCATGTGTTAAGTTATATATGTACTGTAAAAGATCCACAATGTAATGAGACTTTGATATCACAAGTATTTGATATCCCAATCCACAACAAAATGTACTACTTCGTTATTTGGTAATGAGATAAATGTTAAAGCAACCTTAATGGCTCTTTGGTAATTTTGTGTATAATTGATTAATCAATATAAAGGACAATTAACATGTATGTGAGAGAGATATGTTTAGGGATTTCCCAAGGCCCAGCACTTTTAGAAATAAACAAGTGCTACTCTGTAAAACTAGGGACATGAGGATCTTATTACAGTAAGCAGTACACATGGACTATACATGTAGATTGGATATAACAGATCCAGGATAAACTTACCAATAATCACAACATACAATGTACATGTTGCACTGTCCTGATTAGGGACCATAATTGTTGGGTTATCTTCCATAGGCTACATTTTACTGAACCAGCAGGTGGATACATGTAACTTTTCTAAAGTAACTGTTTAAACCCAGTGCCATTCAAATCGAGAAAAACGGATACAATTATTATTCTTTGAATTACCCCAATCATAAATCAATGTGTGAGGTATTCTAGTTCTAATGGTCCGCTTGCTATAATTAATTTTTCAAAGGTCAGGAAGCTACGAGAGTATAATGTTTCCCCGCGTTTAGGCAGACGCTGGTTTCGAGTTTTCAGATCGGCCGTAGCTATCAAGGGACCAGAAACATATATTCTCAGTGCAAAATCAAAAGAACCTGTTTAGATATGAGATGAATTAACACCCAGTGTGGTCTAACTAAAAGTAGTTTAGACATAGATAGACAATAATTTAAATCTAGCGATGTATGGTCATGTATAGGACATGTAGGAGAGGAGCGCGCTCCGTAGAACACACGTAGCTTAGACACCGTACCGGCGCGCCAGGGATGCGCGTTCTATTTGGTGTAAATTTCTGCCTTTTCCTGTAACATGGCCTGACGGAATTTCGGGGGAAACCCGTTTCTCCCTCGAAATCAAAAGTAAGTCAACTACTATCAGAAAGTTTAAGATTTTGCTCTTTCTCAGCCAACAAATTTCCTGTTGGTGCGAAATCTGCATCAAGGTGAAAATACACGGGGAAATTGCACTAAAATTGCCTAGTTTCAGGTCATGATATCGAAAGGGGAAAGGTACATTCTCGGCTCCAAAATTCATTGGGAGCAAATTAGGAAGGCTAAATATTATTAATAAGTTACAATAAGGAAGATATGTGATTGTATAATCCCGCGGTAAGCTTTCTTGTGAGGCGAGTCGACGCCCGGAGCCGTGGAACGGACTACTTTCTCTCGCGGAAGGAAAAGAGAAACGCATAGAACTCTTGACGTGGCTTTCCGGCTGTATATGTTTGACACTTGACATAACACTTATGAAAGTTATGCTTTACCAGAGCCCATGGATCGAAAGCATTAAGAAACTTACAGAAGTGTGTTATTTGGGAACAACCATTGCTGAGTTTGACTTCAAGGATCATTCATCACAGGGCTGCCTCTTGTCAAATACAATAGAAAATATAGCAGGGTCAGACACATTGCCCTTCACAGTCATCAATATACCACATGATTTGTTAGGATAGGGAAGTTGTCCATCACAGGCCATGGGGGAAGGTTTTGAGTCAGCAGTTTGCTGTGGATAATTTGTCACTGTCATTTTTGCTGTTATTGGAGAGGGGGGGGGCACCTCTGTTCAGCAACTCCTCCCACTTTCCAATTCAGAAATTATGTTTAAATTACTTAGCACTCACATGAACTGCAAAATATAATCAATCACATGTACCTGTAATATACTTGTAAATGACTCATATGAATAACCACTGGGGTTCACACCATGATATTATAAAACAAAGTAGGTGGGCAATGAAAAAGTAATTTGGTGAAAATTTCTGATTTGTTAATGCCCAAGCCAAGTATAACATTGTAAACGATCCTAACATATTGGAATTCTTCCAGATCCATATGCTGAAACATCTATTTTGCAGATGAAATTACTGCTTCATATATCAGGGCCTGTCAGAATGATCCATTGTATATCAATTTGTGCTACCTAAACAAGCTTATGGCTGTTATCTTTGATAAGTTCAGTGGAGTTGAGAAACGTTAAAATGAAACAGTAATATCTAAAGTTTATCAAATTAATTGCAGATGTTTGACTGATTTGATTAATTTCCTACCAAGGTTCAAGATAACATTGAATATTGCCTGCACCATGCAAATTTTACCTGCACCACTCAGAATTTAGAAAGTATGGGTAATACTAGTTAGAAACCATTGTCATTATTTAATTATACTTCATACTATATGAAGATCATATAAGCAAATAAAAATCTACATACACCTACATTGTACATGTACATGTATATGTAAACCCAGTACATGGATCAATGCAACTTAGGTGCAGGTAGAAACACCTACACAGCTCAAATTTTACCTGCACTACCCTGCAAATGCAGGTGGTATTTCAAGCCCTGCCTATGTAATACTAATACTTAGTTGTTTGATAAGTGAGGATAAAAATATATCTCATAGAACGCTGCAGATGAACAGGACAATCAATTCTACCTTAAGACATGCACTTTAAGATAAGTCCAGCATTTATATTTGCCAAGACCGCTTGCCCTTTGCAATACTGAAATCACTCACAGCGTAGTAGAGCAACAAAAATTTGCCAAGATTTAACCCCTGGTGCCCTTTGCACTCGATTGGAGAAGCAACTGAGCCCCGTAGAAGCACACATGGGTAAATCCTAATCTTGGTAAGCTACCATTGTACCATTTGCCTCATGCCGCATGGCTTTATCACATCTTGGTTTCATTGAGATGCAAGGAATGGAATGTCTTCATATTTGCTTTGGCAAGATGACAAGCATTGGGCTGTGTCAAGAAAACACAACTTCGAAAAATACAAACAATATATTTACAATGAAACCAGTGTTATTGGTAAAAAATACAACACATTTGAGATTCAAAAAGAGACCTACACAAACAAATGTGACTGCAATCGGGTTGTCTACAGTGTATGTAGGTCTGACAGACTCTCAAATATAGCAGGGATTTTCAGTTCAGCACCAAGGACAGGGACAGAATCACATAAGAGTCATGTACATGTAGTGAACACATTTTGCAGAATCATAGCCAAACTGAGAAACAATTCATTCCTAATTCCAGTAGGATTTTTCCTGTTGCACAGCTTGTTGGTAATATCATTAATTTTCCTGTTCATGCATGTAGCCTGGAGGTCATCCTGGTTAGGTTCATGCCTGCTTTGATAATCGTCTACTGGAGAAAAGATAAGCTTCATCGGGCTTGTACCCAGGCTACATTTTGTGAAGGTAGATTTAATCCATCAAATGGGATGTTTCTGACAAAGTAGAATTTAATGGCAAAGATTGACAGGGAAGAACATCAAGAAGAAACTATTTAAGTGTTAACTACTTATAAGTGATGGACTGGAAAATGTGATCAATTGTCAACAGGTAGATGTCAGGGACCAGTGAATTCTACAAACCTTAGAATGTAATCAGTGGCTGTGCGAATTGCTGTCTACAAATTGCAGAGGTTTCAGCTGCATACAAAGTGTTCTTATCTCCAGAAGGACACTACGATTGTTAATGAAGAATAATATCAAGAGATGTCTGTGGTGGGGTGGTATATGCATATGATTTATGAAGTTTATATATCATAATCCTACCCCCAACATTTGAAAAGGACAATGAAAAGATCAGGACAGTGGTGATAATAATTGTTGATGTTTCCAAAACATCCAAATGTTTCCATTTTTTACTAATTGACACGAAACACAATAAAACATAAATATATGAATGTGTTTTCAATAAACATATGAATGTGAATTTTTACATATTACCCATTAATTTCTTTCTGGAATAAGTCTTCAACCTTCTGAAGGCTACACACGGAAATGGTTATCTAAATATGTCACAAAAGGTCTGAATTGCTGAAGTGCATTTAAGATGTACATATTCAACATTTAGCCCTCTGGGCAAGGAATATAGGTCAGGCTGGCCCTTTCATCACCATAAGATGGGATTAAGGAGGGAATTCAAGTGTGTCTGGCAAGACACTTAATATAAATGACAGTTTCCCATATGAACATAAACTATAATCAACATCGGTCAGGCCTAAATGGCATGTAAAAGCCGCTGTCAACACACTGCCCTAATAATAGTAATATAAAACTAGTCATGATGTAATCCATAATTCCGTAGGAGCCACCAAGCTTCATATCAAAAAGTTCCAAAATGGCTTTGATCATAAATACTTCATTCTTCACCATCAGTATCAATATAGAATTCATGATATTTCAGGATATATTCGCTTCAAGCAAAAGGATACAGCAAAAAACTTCATGCTTCAAATTTTTCAGTAAACGTCAAACTGTGAGGATCTTCTTGTTGGATTACCATTGCGGGTCCATAGTGGAGCTGGTTACACCAGAAAACCTGGCTAGACCTCTCACTCTGACACAGTTTCTGACATGGTACAACAAACAGGTCGGAATCCAGTTTCACCTTGTGAGATGACTTCTTAAGAAAACTCATCATTGGCACGAAAATGTCCTTGAAGACATTTATCCCAATCACCATCAAACATAACTACCCAAAACTTGAGAAATGCCAGGTTGGCTACAGCACAGCATCTACCTCCTAATTGAAAGTGCCGCTCAAATGAACCATTGGCAGTAGGGCTCCTCCTGTGAACTAACCAAAGATAAATCAATGGTTTCTTAAATCAAAACTCAGATCACAGAGCTGTTTAATTGGTGTAGCCGGCAGACTTATCAATGTTGGTGTGCAGCAATGACCTTCCCAATGGGCAAACTTGATAGCCTGTCATTTAACGGACAGTAAAACCTGCCTGAAAATTGAAATAGACTCCGTGAAGGGTGTCTGACATTTTCCCAGCACTTATGGCCAGGCAATATCCTGCAGTGATTTCGGGACGGAGGCCACATTACAACTGTAGCCGTTCAAGCAACACACAGGTTATTCCTTCGTTTAGTAGGTGGGTCAAGCTTTATACATTTTTCAGGCCCTTTTCTTGGGAGTAGTACACTCACTGAATTATTTACAAATCTTGCTACACCTCATGTTTTATGTTCTTTGACCTTTGACTCCATAAAGGCTCAAAACAGAAAAATAAAAGATGATTGGGCGAATATGGCCGAGACCATTTTATGACATTTGACCCAATAAAGGGCTTAGATATAGTAAAAAAACAGCTATAAAAGCCTTTGGATAAA